CCCGGCCTGGCATGCCTCCTGCTGTGGCCGTGAAGATAACCCCTCTGCAGATCAACACTTAGAATTGGACTCTTGTTTTGAGAAGAATAAATTGAAGCAATTCCATAATCTTCTCTTCCTCTCCTCCTTTTAATCTCCTGAAATACTTTCTATATTAGTTTGGCCTTAGAGAATTTCTTAGAAGCAGGATGCCTTTAATGTAAATTAGTGCTGTCAAATGTAAACATTGTAAAGCTCTATGTGAACAGAACGTGAAGCTGCAAGTTGTAGGAAGCTGAGGGAAGGAGGTCTAAGTGCTGTTGATTCTCAAGAGCTGTCTCTGAAAAAGGCTTTGTGGGTTTTAGCCTTGCTTAGAAGGAGGCTCCTAAAAATATAGATGTCCATGTGTGTGTCATGCACAATGATATCTCAGAGGGTCTCTCAACATCTACTAAAGGGTCATTTCCATGCTAGCAATAAAAATGAAATGATATTTAAAAAAAATATTTAAGTTTTTGTAGATGTCTTGGAACTTTTATCATCAGTTGAAATGCAGCTGAACTTTCTTTGTTTCTACATAAAGGAAATCTAAGTAGTCCTAAGATAAGGAAATAAAAATGTATTTCTCTGATACTTTAAAATGTTATTTCCTTTCTCATCATCCCATAGCTCTTTACTGATGGAAATAAAATGACATATCTCTTCATCAAAAATAGATCTATTAGCATGGTCAAGAGTAGAAAACATATTTTTAAATTAAGATGTCATCTATAACATTACAAAGTGGTACTTTCTAGCCTTTCCTCCTAGGTTCTTATAATTACAACAGGAGAAATGGTAATCAGTTTAAAAATAACAAGACATTCCATGTAAAAGATGATGTGCCACAAAGCAACCAGACTTAACAAGGCCAGGCAGTAATTGCAAAAGGAAGGAGCAATAAGCCATCCTTGCTATTGAGTGGAAGATTCCAGGGCAGTACCTGTAGGTGAATTTGTGGCCAGTAACTTGGGCATCTGTGATATCACAATAACTGAGGGAAAGGTATCATTAGTAATTGATAAATATTTAAAGAGTGACTTTCCCAAATGTGCCTGGTGGGAAAAATATGAGGCATTAGGCCTTTCGTCTAAGTGTATTTATGTTTTATCTCACTGCTTTATTGTATAATTATGGACACTGATCATGTGCTCAGTTCCATGCTAAGCTATAGTGAATGATAGAAAGCACAACCCTCCTCTAGTGTGTGTGTGTGTGTTGGGGCGAGGTGTGTAGGGTGGGGGTGCCCAGGAAGAGTGGTAGCAGTATACCCCGTTTAGAATTTACTATTCCTTACTCATCTTGTTTAACATCTGCTACTGTTAATGTCAAGTGGGTGCTCATGTTAGCCACAGATGTGTTTCAGATTTTGTATTCACATTACGTTTCATCATGTCATCTTACTTGTGATCCTCTGATAACTGTAAGCTCTCATTTATTTTCTTCCTCCTGCTGACTGTCCTCAGCATACACACTACTTGGTTGCATGAACACAGTTTTATTTTAATAGATACATGTCACATTGGATTTGAAAAATGTAATATATCTAGCAATTTAAAAATGTATCTTAAAGGAATCATAAAACATTTTCATTATTGCTATACTCTTAAATAATTTAGTGCTTACTTTTGGAACTGTTTGTATTGCCAGGAATTCTCTTTTGTTACTGGATGCCTGTTGATTCTTGAAAGTCATTTATTTTTGTACGTGCTCATTAAAGACAGCTTGTAAAATGTGGGTTTGGTTTATAACACTTGCTTTTCACGGTACTATGACTAAGACCTTCTGCTATCCTTATAGATTTAATTGGATTTCGAAATTGTAAATTCTGTCAAATTTGGAGGGAATCCACTCTCAAGGTCACAAATTTACTTTCCTTAGATCTGATCAGCAGCAAAATGTCCATATGAGCAAAATGTCCTTATACTGCACTTCTCAAGCTGCAGGGTCTGCGACTTGAGGCCCTTCCTACTTCTGTAGTGTCTGTGCTGGTCAGGCTTCCACACCAACATTTTTTCACAGTCTGTCCTGCTCGATGAGCTAGAAGTGTTTTCCTTCCAAATTGTGAAGACCATGACTCTGACCTTGCTGGCATCGGTAACAGCTCCTTCTGCTTTCCTCCTGTCTCCGGTAGTTCCTTCCAATATCCTGCTTTTCTCCCCAGCTTCTAGGTAGATATTATCCAATGTTCTATCCTGCTTCCTGTGGGTGTTCATCTTTCTCCACACACTCAGTCACCACTCCTGTGTCCCTCCTGCCCTGGGTGCCAGCTGCCCCGGTGCCCAGAATGTGCTTCTACAAGTAGCCCCCCGGCTTGCTCCCCTACTGCCTTCAAATGTCTCCAATGGCATCTTACTGAGACATGCGATATAATGTATTGCATTTGCTTACATTGCAAACTCTGTGGTCAGAGATTTTTATCTTAACTCCTAGAACATTGACTAGAAATTGGCTCATAGAAAGTGTTGAGTCAGCACTGGAATGAATGAAAGAACCTGGAGTAGGAAAGTCACAGTGAGGGTCAAGGTTGACCCAGAGGCAATCTAGGCTCTGCCCAGCCAGCTGAGTGGTGTGCGCTAAGCCCCTGACTCACTCCAAGTGGGTTTCTGTTTTCTTTTCTGAAACTACTGTGTAGTTGCTGGGCTTTGATGCCCTCACACAGGTAGACTCAGAATCTGTGTACAAAGATGCAGTTCCAGAAATGAGATGACCTTGTGCTAAACTTGATATTACATCACCTCCAGCAATGTGATGTTTTTGTTCTTTTTTCTGTATAATTTTATCTATGCTTAAATATCTCTTCAGGAAAATAATTGAATGAAACAATTAACTTCTAAATGATATAAAAATTAATGCATTTTTATTTAATACCATGTTTGTTATCTTTTTTTTAATTTTACTTTAGTTCCAATTTTTTAAATCTATTACCAACTTATACGGGTTATTTACTGTTGACACACATCTATATCTATAGCTGTCTATCTATATGCATATATAAAGTAGTCTACCTATTTTGGTCAATGAAAAGCAACCACGGTCTTTTCTCTCTACTTTTAGATATTTCATGCTGTGGAGAGTAGATTCAAAAAGGATTACCTGTGATTTCTGCTTCCCATCCATAACTTACTCCTCTCTTAAGTAAGTATATTGCTTTTCTGTGGTTCATTCTGAGCAGAAGGTATTGATTCTCTTTGACAAAGAGGCTGAGGTTCCAGATATTTTGCAGTCTGGCTTAAAAAAAAAAAAAAGTGCCAGTATTACCAATAATATCTGTAGACATTATCCACTAGAAGTTAAGGCTTTCTAAATAGAGTGTTATGTTTGTCAGTAATCTCCCAATTATTTATGTAGAAATGCATGTATTTGAAGATGCAGTGAAAACAGTACATCATATGTGGGTAGAGAATAAAAGGGTGTTTTTGGACAAGCAAAACCTGTGGAGAAGTCTGATCCACAGAGTATAGGGCAGATGTTGGGGAGCAATTAGCAGTCTTGGGGATGAGCCTGCTTCATGGAAGACACTTCTGCGTACTTTGTCCCAAGTCCATACCATTGCAGGGATTCTTTTCTGATCTCCACAGGTTGGTGTGAGCTCAGAAACTTGGGTAGCCACATCCATGTTCCAGCAAAGGAGTGAACAGTGGTCATGGTCCAGTTCACTCTGCCCTTTTACTGAGCCCCTGAGAGCTTAATAGCCCCAACTTGAGCAGTTGTAATGTTTGAAATTGAGAGAGCTCCCCAGTTAGCTCACGTCTGTCAACAGCAGCTCTCATGAGAACACACAGTTTCAACCTAGGTGGCCATATTTCAAGTGACCACAGCTTTGAGTTGATTGGCAGGGTTCCTTGAGCCTCCTTGTTGACGTCCTTATGTAATATACAGTGCTTCTAGGCTAAACCATGCATCTGAGCTTATTTTTACTGCCCATGCATCAGATGGTTAGATAAATGTTATTGCCTTCTAGGAACCTCAGATTCCAATTTAGGCTAACAAGTATCATTCAGTGCCAGGTGAATTCTGCAACTTACAGCAAGAGACGAACTACAAAGAAAGAGACTCAAAGCTGTGGTCATTTGGAATATGGCCACCTAGGTTGAAACTGTGTGTTCTTATGAGAGCTGCTATTGACAGACCTGAGCTAACTGGGGAACTCTCTCAATTTCAAACATTACAACTGCTCAATTTGGGGCTATTAACATGGCCATACTCTTGTTCATAGCTGTGTGATATTGATACTCACCAACTTAGCTTCTGACAGTGGTTGAATTTGTAGCTTTCGTAGCCAATAAAGAATTGGAGTGGAGAATGGGGGGTTGAGTGGACTCTAGGGTAATGTCAGCTCCTCAACCTGTTATCCACAAGCAGAACTTTTCTTTCTGAATTCAGATTCTTACATGCCAAGGAAGAATATCAGCAAGCAGTAGGGGATGGGAAGGGTTATATGACATCATTATGGGGTGTGCTTGATGCAGCATAGGCCTTTGAGAGATGGAGGCCTCCATCTTGATTTAATGAAGACAGTCAGCTATGGCACAACCATGCTGAGCTTTGCAATATTATTATTTAGCTAGGTCCTGCACCAGGAAGACTAAGAAGGACAACTGAGGGACTAATTAACACAATGTCAGTGGATTGAAGATGCTAAGTCTTGACTCACTATTGTGCGAGTTACTTTAAGTTATTTTTATATCACTTGCCCTATAGAAAAGGTAGGAATATTTTTTTAAAGTACTCTATAAAATAGAGTATTGAGAAAAGCATAATGTTTGTCTTACCATTGTCCAAATATTTTCAACTATTTCGGACTATTATTTCATTTAAAGTTCATTAAAAGTTGTTTTTGTTTTTGTTTGTTTGTTTGTTTTTGTTTTTTTGACCCTAAACTCATTTAAAGTAGGGATAAGTATCCCTATGCAGACAAATCTATTATTGTTGTCATTAACATTTCTCACTATTCTTTCAACTTCCCACCCCCTACTGGCTTGCTGATTTACTCATTGGCACATAGGAGTCTATGTTCAGAAAGAAAAGTCTTGGTGCAGTTGACAGGTTGAGTGCATTTAAGATTACTTTGTTTTTAGTGTAAAAGGTAGGGCTTTATTAAATTGGTCCCTTGTTTGAGGAAACTGAAGAAAATGAAAGTATGAAATAAAATGACCTCGTGGTCTTCTTTTGTCCTCAAAACTTTTGTGTTTTTTCAAACTGAGGACCTGGCACCTACCTTGATATGTAAATCCTCCTTAAGGATATACAAACACCTATTTTAATGCATTATTCACACAACTGCAATTTCAAACAATAATTTTCCAGGTTCCTTTTGTTTATAGGTTCTTCTTATCCTAATCAAACTGAGGTAATTGCTGGTTTCTTCTGGAAGTTTCCTTTTATAAAACTTATCTGGGAAAGAGTTTTAACTTTTTATACTGCACTAGTTACTTAAGAAACTGCCAAGAACAAAACAACCTTCACACTTTTTTTTTTTTTTAATGTTAAATAGTCATGACCAAAAGTAATCTCTTTCTAAACACCCTGTATCCCCACCCCTACCCACCCCATTTGGAAGTTTTGTAAAGCTGGTCCTCGAAGGAGAGATTTGCTCCCTGAGCATGAATCATCTACCTTTACCATCACATCACTCACTTTTGCCTTTTCCCAGATCAGTTCTTTGCCAAGCCAGTGACTCAAAGCCCTAAGGCTTGGTTTCTGTCAGTATACTTAAAATGACCCCTGAGAAGGCATGTCAGATAACCAATAGCAAGTCCCTCAGAAGTCAGGGAGAGCCAGACACCATAAGGAGACCCACAGCACAGTATGATTGGCTTGCTACTTAAAAAAAAAAACAAAAACAAAAAAAAAACAAGGAAGTCATTTCTGGAAACAGTAGCTGAGACTTTAGTTGTTTTAACCTCTTTATTCACAAGAATCATAAAAGTTTCTATTAGCATAGTTGTAGATGTACTTCTCTCTAAAATAAAATGCTATAATTGGAATGAAACTTTAATTCTGTTTTTGAGGGTTTAACACATTATTTGAGAGGTGCTTTGGGTTATAATTTAAATTGTTAAATTACCAACTATTTAGCATTTTTTTTTATTCAAATGGAAGAATAATCCTGTTACTGTGTGTGCATATTTTTATTTTTGTTCTTAATTATTAGTGGCTATTACAATATTGTTGATGTAATCATTGCATTTCTACAAAGATTGCTGAAAATTTAATCTCATCATCTGTGGGAGGCCTGCCAAAAGTTTTGTTTACAGTCTTCAGTCAGAACTGCAGTGAAGGTATTAAAATCTTCATTGAAAGAGGGGACCAAAATCCAGAACTTAAACTGTATTACCAAAGGTTAACTGTCTTGGCAACAAGACACACGCTGGGAATAAAAATCAAATTGGGCCCTCCCTGGTGGTGCAACAAGTTGGGATATAGCACTGCGAGCTTGCTGCAGAGACTTCAGTGTGACTTCCATCCCCCACCACAGAGGTGATCAGCATGGCGTAGCAGACCTCTCCTGTCTCACCAGCTGCTCCCCTCAACAGTGTATTTCAGTGTATCAGCTTGTTCTGCTCCCCACTCTGCTGCTGGTGAATCCTCTCCCCACTCCTGCACCTCTGACCTGTACAGTGCATAAATAATACTGGCCAGTTCTGTATGCATAAATAAATAAATTTTAAAAAAATCAAGTTTACCCCTCCATCAGCCCCTTTGCCAGACCTTTCACACCAGTTGATATCTTTATGATAGTGGTTCATAAATGGAATGGGAAACTTGGCTGAGGGGATTTAGGTGGTGGGGAATATAGAATGGGAAATTTGTAAAAAAAAAAAGAATGCCTTGTTGAATATTAGAAAAGTTCCCTAGAAACCATGGTAAGTCTTCACTTAGTAACAGAAGGAAATGGTAATAGAGGCCAAAAGTCAACTAATGAGGACAGGAGACCTAAGAGCACACAGCACATGTCAAAGAAGGGGAGTGACTGCAGTGTGTTGGCAGAAAAACTAGAATATCAGGACCTTCCTATTTTTCCTGCAACCTAACAAGTGTCCACTGCAATCAGGAGGTGTGGATTGAGACAAATGTGGTGCATCAGAACTTCTCAGAGAAGTCTGAAGAGATGTGGATGTTCATCAGTGGCGTAGTGAGCATCGGAGGAGTGTCTTCACACTGGTGTCACTCTTCTGTAACCTAGTGCTATGGTCTAAAAGTCTGTGCCCCACCAAAATTCATAAGTTGAAAACCCCATCAACCCAATGCCCACTGAGATAGCATTCGGAGTTGGGGCCTTCAGGAGGTGCTTAAATCATAAAGGTGGAGACTGTCAGCAATGGAATTCAGCAGGAGAGGAGCTGTCTCTCTCTTGGTTTCTCTTTCTGTCTCTCTCACTCCTTCTCTTTCCGCAAGATTTGGACATACCTTCTCCTCCAGTTTCACATAGCACTGGTCTATCATTGTCCTGAAATTTTAGCCCTTCCTTTTAATTGAGTTTCTGGGCTCTAACTCTCTATAGTATATCTTCCAGAGAGAACAACAGAATCATTCTTGGTTAAAGAAAGACACTTGCCCATACCCGTCAATGAAACATCCATGCTCTTGAAGGAAATCTCACTGAGTGACTGCCAGCATGTATCCAGCATGCCCATGCTACGTTGTCTTCTGGCACAACCAGAATTTCTTCATCACCAAGCTGCTCCATTAATGTTTTAGCCTCATGCTAGCTAACCTGCCTCTTCATTCATTCATTTAGTAGACAGAAAAATTTTTTGTACTCTTTGTTGATGTTACTTCCGGATCTAAAACCCTGGTTTCTTTCAGTTACCTATCTATCAAGTTTAAGTGCCAGAGTCTCGTTACTTCGCAACTAAGATCTTGCCTCTTATCTAAAGCCATATCCATCACTTTTCTCCTGTTTTAAGCACATCTGGCTCATCAGAGTTTATGTGCTCCCTCTCACCTTAATGGTTCCTTTCTCCCAAGTTCCACAGGTTTCTTTGAGGTCTATTTCAAGAGTTAGTTTTCTACCAAAAGAAAAGCTTTTTTGAAAAAATATCCAGAAATTTCATTTATTTGAGTTTTTGCAAGAAATTTCTTCACAACTCCATATATACATTGTATATTTATAGGTAGCATTGATGTTTTAT